TCGGTCAACGTGCGGTCGTTCAGCCCGTCTTCTTTCAGGTCTGGCTTTGACGAGGCAACAATCTTGTGCATTGAGCCAGGCCATACGACAGGTGTGCGTTTACTTCTCACTGCTCGGCAAGGACGACTATACTGATACCCTGCATACGTGTGGAAAGGTGTAATACGCGCTGCACTAAGATGAGCGCCATCTCTTGTCTTTGGTCATCCGGCCACTCACCTGTCAAGCGTTGCAGTATTCCATACAATATCGGCATTGGCATCTACGTCGAGGATGCCTCAGGTGGACGGCTCCGCGTCTTCTTCGTCTGAGTCACCCTCGCTTCCGCCTAGTCAGAACAACTACACTCCTAGGGCCTATCATCCTCCACTTCCCCAGCCGTCACTGAGCTGACATCCACTTTGGCGTCTCCCTTCTAGCAACTGTTATGGCCTCGGATTTAGCGTTTGCCGACGTTCCTCTATTGCGCGCTGTGCTTCTGTCCTCTGTGCCTGACCTTTATGCTCTCTCCCCTCATGGCCGTTCTGCGCTCGCGCTGCTGTCGTATCGTATTTGCCCTCAATAAATATTTCTATCATATCTTTGCATGTGTGATATTGTGCCCAATGGTCAGAGCGTGTGCTGGCAACGGACCTCCATTGTCAACACCATCCCTGTCCATCCATACAATGGGATTGGCATGGGAACTCCTGGCTCGCATGATAATCCCTGGCCGAACGCGCCCATGTGTTCCAGTGCAAGCTTATTGAATATAATGATGGCTCGATATAATATGATGATCACAGGATTTTAGCTCTCATATCTAATGCCATTACACCGTCCATCTTGCCAAGATTAGCGTTATAATAAAAGGCTATGTAGCCTTTCCTTATATTGCCATTACAACCAGCATTACAGTGCTTCGACATTTTTGCTGATGTGGGGCCTTGTCACCATGCAATGCTGAATAAAACCACGGTCCGCAGGTCAAAAATCTCAAGAATTCATAATATGCGTATGTGTTGTTGAGTGCCTAATAAGTTGAGGCTAGCCTGGGTGTAGAACTCGACAGGGTCGTCGTGTTGTTCGCATACAAACCCGTTTTAGTAGACGTAACGCCCGGGAGAGGCATGTGAAAGTGTGCTGAGCGGCACGACCGGGCCACCCTCCCAAATCCCGGATCGTCCGGGTTCTCGTCGAAAGCGCCATGGTTGGTGGCAGAAATTGCAAGAGGTCGTCTGCATTGTTGCTCTAGCACGAAGTGGTGTCCACCCCGAAAATGTCTCATCCTTACAGCCACATCTCAGGATCATGGGTGAAGGTCACCTCCCCGCGACCTCACGTAGCCCTGGTTGAGCTCTCTCGGTAGGTCGCACAGTACTACCCAGCTCGTGAAGAAAGTATTGAACCATCCTACAATTGGCTAGCGACCCAGTGAACGCGTTCCACGAACCGTGCGCGCTGTTTCAGTTTGTCTTGGACGCTTGTTGAGGGAAACTCTTTAGGTTCTGGACTGAGTTAGGCCACGTATTCGACAAGATAGCTGAAGAGCCCACAATACGTGCCGTGGTGCTGGCCTCTGCGAACTCAAAGCTGTTCTCCGCTGGTATCGACAGTAAGTGCCGTGTAGATACTGCTACCTTGACAACCAAGTCGCTGACAAATCTGTGGCGTCAACAGTAGGCTCGCTCTCCGGGACGCTTGCTAGCGAGAGTAGCCCCGACCCATCCCGTCGCGCCTTGCAACTTCAAGGACACATAGCCTCATTCCAGGCTTCGATTTCTGCTCTTGAACGCTGCCGGTATCCCGTCATCGTGGCGACGCATGGCGTTGCTTATGGTCTCTCCATTGATATCATTGCCGCTTGCGATGTCCGCTATGCAGCCTCTAGTACTTCTTTTGCGGTAAAGGTAGGCATCTCCAGCCCCTATGATCGTTTTCGCGCCACAATCCTCGCCTTCCTACTATCATCGCTTCCTCTGCGTAGACATGCCTCCAAACCCTTCTCGTCCACTTCCTGACATATCCGGCCTTGCATGATCACATGTCCTAACTTATTCCCTACAGGAAGTCGACGTTGGCCTAGCCGCGGACATCGGGACACTCGCTCGCCTTCCCAAGATCACTGGGAACCAGTCGCTCGCTTCGGAGCTTGCATTCACTGCGCGTCCTTTTGATGCATCCGAAGCGCTGACGCTCGGTCTTGTCTCCCGTGTCGTAAACGGTGGGCGGGACGAAGTAGTCAAGGCCGCTCTCGAGACTGCTACGCTCATCGCAGAGAAATCGCCTATCGCGGTGCTGGGGACGAAGAAGTTATTGCTGCACGCAAGAGATCATTCGTGCGTTCCTGTCCTTGAAGCTTTTGCATGTTATGCCCTGACACGCGTATCATCTGGGCGTACAGAGTAGCAGAGAATTTGGACTATACAGCGGTATGGAATAGCGCAATGCTTCAGACGCAGGTACGAGCTTTCGGGCCTTGCGAAGCTCTTCGCGCCCTGTATGTTTGCACCGGGCTGACGTCGACGCCTTCATTCCGGGTTCGCAGGACATCCCGAGCGCCGTCGTGGCGTTCCGGAAGAAGCAGAAGCCCAAGTTCGGGCCTTTGGGACCTAAGCTGTAGCTTAGTTAGACCCCTTTCGGGGTTGCATGCTGCTTTTCCCTATTTGTGTACTATAGGACTTGAAGGAGGATGCCCCTGGAATCGGAGATCCAGAATGCTGAAAGACCGACTTTGCGAATGGCAACGCTGCTCGCCATGGAATTGCGCCAAGCCATCCGTTCCCGGGCGTGACGTGGCGTGGGTAAAGAGAACGTAACGCATAAGCTTGCGCCTATTGATAGCAATTCAAAAGCTGGTCTCACGAGGAGGCTGGAGCGTTCTGACTGAGCGTGAAGGTATGCCCTGTCGTCTGCTGTCCGCGATGTGCTTCTGACACGGGTTATAGTGGGACCTTGACCTGTGTGCATACATATAACCTGCAGGAGGTGGTACTCGTCAGCTTGGATATCTCTCCGAACTAGTCTCCTTCTGGCTTCTGCTTATCTCTGTTCTCACCTGTGCAGCTATGGCAGGCATGGGCCCAGATTCCGACATACAGACCATTGTAGTCGTTGGTCTTGGTATGGTAGGAATTGGTGGATACTGTCTAACTTCGGTCCCTATTCTCTGTTATTGACGAAGCGGAGATCTTTCCAGCTTTCATTGGGAAACTCTTGTCTCTAGACACGAGCCGGCGGTATCGCATTGTTACATGTGGCGAGGAAGTCCATCGCGAGTATACGAGCATGTTTTCTTGAGTATTGTGCTCCGTACTAACGCTTAAACTTCCTCAGTGGCCTACAATAGAGTTGCGCTCACCGACTACTTTCAGCACCGAAATGTTGAGAAGCTTTACTTGGAGTCACGTCAGTCTTCCATGTCTCCTTTTACCAGCCTTCCAATCTGACTCTGAACATTCACCTAACGCGGCTCCACTGTAGCGGATTGGTACGAAAACCAAGATCCGGCCCACTTTGAGTTCTACACTGGCGAGACAGTCGTAGCCCTCGACACTACCGCTCGTACTGTTACGACGGATACAGGCCGTTCAATCGCTTATGATCACTGTGTGCTTGCGACAGGCTCTGACGCTACCCTTCCGAGCTATGCAGACACCGCTATTCCAGGCGTATTCGTGTACCGCAACATCACTGACGTTAACAAGCTCCTCGCTTATGCGGAGAAGGAGGATATGAAGGACGCTTCGGTCGGTGATGCATGCTACACTTCACGGCGGCAGCCTTGATATCTCAACCTCTCTGCAGGTTGTCGTGCTCGGAGGGGGGCTCCTTGGCCTTGAAGCTGCGAAAGCCGTGCACGACCTCCCTACTATCTCAGATGTTACGATTGTCCACCGCTCCGCCTACCCACTCTCGCGCCAGCTCGACGCACAAGGAGGGGAGATCGTCCTCCGGCGGATCGAGGGCATGGGCGTACGTTTTCTCGGCAGCACCTCCGCCACCCGTCTCATATCCGACTCCTCCACCGGTGCACTCACTGGACTTGAGCTTATGGATGGCACTGTACTTCCGTGCACGATCGCTGTATTCGCAATCGGGATAACCCCTCGCGATGACTTGGCCCGCAAGGCTGGATTAGCGTGCGTAGAGCGCGGCGGCATCGTCGTGGACGACCGGCTGAGGACGAGCGCCGAGGATGTCTACGCGATTGGGGAGTGTGCGAGTTGGAAGGGGAATACATATGGGCTGATTGCTCCAGGGATAGAGATGGCAGAGATCTTGGCATTCAACTTCACACAGGCCAAGACAGACGTTGGAGAATTCAAGCCGAGGGAGATGGTGTGTTGACAATGTGTCTCCATGGACGGATGATGCGCTCATGATACGATATCAAAGAACAACCCAGATTTGTCGACGAAGTTGAAGCTCATGGGTGTCGACGTGCGTCACAAATATTGAGAGCTCCGAGCGTGTGCTAATTGGGCCATCTCCCTTGCACTCAGGTGGCCTCCTTTGGGGACTTCTTCGTCGAGCAGCGCGTCAACGCCAAGAGCTCCACGACCCACTCTCATGTTGGCCAGATATCTCCTAGTGTCAATAGCTCAAGCAGGCACGACGCGTCCGCCCCGAAGAAGCGACACGGCGGCGCTGCCGCAGGCGATGGTCCAGTCGAAGCATTGACATACCGAGATCCGTTCGTAGGAGTGTATAAGAGGTTGGTGTTACGGAGAGCGTCTATTTGGGTCATGACTTCTCAACCGATATCACTGTAGGTACATATTCAGTGCTGACGGGAGGTATATTCTTGGTGGAATGATGGTCGGCGACACATCCGATTATGTCAAGCTCGTCGCGCTTGTCAAGAAGAAGGCAAGTCCGCTTCATTTAGCTCCCAATAGTTACACGATCGCGATAGCAACTTAAGTTGACACCTTACTTACAGAAGCCATTGGAAATTCCTCCGTCTCAGTTCATTCTGGGTTCCCGCTCTGGTCGCGAAGATGCTGGGGATGATCTTGACGAAGACGCGCAAATATGCAGCTGTCATGTAAGCATTGATAGTGTCATCTGCCTCCTTAGCAATAACGGTCGACTTTGAACGCGCACTAGAATGTCTCTAAGGGCCAAATCGTACAATGCATCAAGGACGGGGCACAGGGCATAGCAGACGTCAAGACAAGGACGAAAGCTGGGTCGGGCTGCGGAGGATGTGCGTGAAGCAATCTGCTGCTTCGCTCCGAGTATAGACCAACTTTATCTGACTATCCGAGCAGGTGTGCCACTCATGACCAACATTGTGAAGGTCTGGTTAAGTCATGAACGCTATCTAGTAGGGTATATCTGACATCACACTCTCTGGCGTACTAGGCTGAGATGAAAAAGGCGGGGATCGCCGTCAGCAACAACTTGTGTCCCCACTTCGCTATGTCTCGAGTCGACCTCTTCAACGTCGTCAAGTAAGGCTTTGTCACTTACGTGCTATCTGGAGGGCCGTCGCTCATTCTGCAACAAATCTCCAGAATCAAGAAGTTGAAAACGATGACTGAGATTATGGCGGCAGTCGGTGTCAAACCGGACTCCGTCGGTTGCGAGACGTGCAAGCCTGCCGTCGGCAGTATATTGTCTTCACTATGGAACGAACATATCTTTGATCCGGCCCATAACTCGTGGGTAGCGAACTCACTGTTTCACCACTGTCAGCACTAATTGAAGCGTCCATACAGCAACCAGGATACGAACGATCGGTACTGATTTTAATGCAAATGTCAAGTCTTGTTGGAAACTCATCTACCTAACAGGTTCCTCGCTAACATCCAACGGAACGGTAAGCCAAATATCCAATGAAACCAAGCAGCCCTAGCTTACTCGCTCCAGGAACGTTTTCCGTCGTGCCTCGCGTTGCCGCGGGAGAAGTATGTCCATGCCTTCATCAGGGCGGGATGTGACACTGACTCCAACGCGGCGCCTCAGATCACTCCCGATAAACTCGTCATACTCGGCCAGACTGCTAAGAAATGTAAATACGAGATACATTCGCAATCGCAGTCAAATTTTGAGCTAACGAAGATCGCGCACAGATGGGCTTTATACCAAGATCACCGGAGGGCAGCGTATAGACCTCTTCGGCGCGGAGCGCGCAGACCTTCCCTCCATATGGAAAGAGCTAGTCGATGCTGGCTTCGAAAGCGGCCATGCTTATGGCAAGGCGCTCAGGACTGTCAAGTCCTGCGTGGGGACGTCATGGTGCCGCTACGGGATTGGCGACGCTGTTGGTAGTAAGAACACCCGTGCCTGTAATCTTGCTGGCTAAGAAGCTTAACATCTGCATGGCAGTGGCTATTCGGCTCGAGGAGCGCTACAAGGGTATCCGCTCGCCACACAAGTTCAAAGGTGGAGTCAGCGGGTGCGTGCGCGAGTGCGCCGAAGCACAAAGCAAGGACTTTGGCCTGATCGCCACGGACAAGGGATGGAATGGTACGTGCTTTGGAGCTGCCAGGCGTGTTTCAGGGATGACCGGTGCTTGCGCGTACGCGCTTCCAACAGTGTTTGTTTGCGGGAATGGAGGCGCAAATCCGCGTCACGCTACTCTCCTCGCTTCTGATGTGCCGCCGTCGCGGGTCGTGCAGATCATCGACAGGTTCATCATGTACTACATCCGAACCGCTGACAAGCTCATGCGCACGGCGCGTTGGCTAGAGTCTATGGAAGGCGGAATCGAGGTGGGCGTGGTAATCATGTTGAGATCGACTGAGCATCCATCAGTTCTCAATAAGTTATGCAGAAACTGCGAAAAGTGATTTTAGACGATGAGCTTGGCATCTGCGAGGACCTTGAGCGTGAAATGGACGGATTAGTGGGATCGTACTTCGATGAATGGAAATCGGTCGTCGACAGCCCTGAGCAACAGAAGCGCTTCCGTCAGTTCGTCAATACTGTACGTGTCTCTCACGTTCACTGGCTTTCCCCTAGGGTACAGACCATCACTCATATACTACCTGTCGCAGAATGAGCGCGTAGATCCCATGGAGAAGATTGTGGAACGCGGGCAAATGCGTCCCGCGAACTGGAGCAAGACAACCCCATCGCTGATACTTCGCCAGTCCGATATTCCAACGCCCAAGGATCAATGGATGTGGAGGACGGTCGCGAAGGTGCAGGATCTCATTCTCAACGAAGGTGATACCACGTAAGTGTAGTTACATCCCGGGTGCACCGAAGGTCGTCTAACCTAATGAGCTCGCCAGATCTGCAGCCGTGAGGTATGGAGACAGCCAGATCGCCATCTACCACGTATTGCATAAGGGGTACTTCGCCACTCAGCAGGTCCGTCGTTCCATTATCTTCCGTTTCAAAGACATGGACACCGGGGCTCACCACCTTCCAACGTACTTCAAAGATGTGCCCACATCGTCGCGCCTTTGTCCTTGACCACGGTATTGTTGGCGACGACCCTGGCTCCAACGCACTCTACATTTCATGTACGTCGCAAGGTCCGTTGTATGACTCCCCTCTCGACTGACGAGGTGTTAGGCCCGATGCACAAGCGGAATTTCAGCCTCACCTCCGGCGAGTGTCTGAATGATAGTTCCTACGGCATCATCGTATTCGACGTGAAGACCGAAGGCGATGATATCCTCCTGCTCCTACCTGAGCCTGACGATCTGAACGGGGTGATTGGAACAGCGAAGTGGATGGTGAGTCAAGCGACGGCCGAGTTGCTTGACAGGACCAGTGCTACCGGTGGGGAGAACACTCTGGAAATTGCTGGACCTACGAATGACGTGCTGCAGGGCGTGAGTGAGAATGTAGCAGGCGGAGGATGCTCTAGTGGATCATACGGTGACAGTAAGCTCGATTGGTGAACGGACGGTAAGCCGGTGGTCTGTGAGCGACCAATGGCTAACGGCATGAAGGCCGTGGTACCAAAGGAAGGGTGTATTATGATAAACCAAGTACATAGAGTATCTATCAGAGCCCTCCCAAACCGAGAACAACTAATCCACGTGCCCGGCGTCAATATATCGTATCAGAGTCGTGTTGTACAGTACTGAAATGTGTCGCAGATAGTGATAGGGATGAATAAGTCAATGTTTGCTGAACTGTTGCATGTCCGCCCACCCGCCTCCGCATCAAGGCTCGTCGTCGATGAAGATCTGTTCGACGTCCTTCCATACCGGTCCGTCATCCTTTCCATGTTTCGCGTTCCACACCCTTTCCCTCTCCAACCAATATTCAAGCTGGTCGTCGACAGTAGCCGGTGTCCACACGCGCTCGCCCGTATCCGGCTCCGTTGTCGCTGAGAACCACCGCGGCTTATGCGGCGGCGCCTTGCCTGTCTCTCGGGCCCGCCGCGTGTTTCGCTGGAATTCCTCCTGCTTGTTCTTCAGATCGTTCGCACGCTCGTACTTGCCCAGCTCAAATGCGCGCTGGTCGGGACGTAGACGACAATCGGTAGGACAAATATAAGGCTTCAAGGTATCTTCGGGACAGTCGTTGAGCGTGATAGCGAAGGGCGTGAGATTGAAGGGCGAGGGTGGCTTGACTGAGTTGCGCCAGAGGAGGATGTATTCGTTCACGGACGAAGGAGAGGGGGGGCCGTTCATCGCGACGTCGGGATGCAGCTGGCCGACACCTGTCCCGACCTGGCGGGCGACCAGCTGGCTGTTCCAGCGACCAGCGATTTCGTAGGTGACGTTACCTCCCGAATCTTGGACATACCCCGAGATCTCGTACGCATCTTTACCCCGCCAGCCTCGAGGCTTGAAGGTGAGAGTACATTTGTCTCCCGTGCGATGATTCGTGACCTGATACAGAGATCAGCGTGAGCCTCCAGCACCAATGGACGGAAGACGTACAATCATATCGCCGTAGTGGTCTATCGTAGGCGAACCAAGGATGAAACCAGAGATGTTCGTCGTGACCTTCTTCCAACTATAGTGCTCCACGACCCGTCCCTTGCTATTGGGACCCTTCGCCTTCGGGTAGTTGGGCGCGCGTTCCTCGGGCAAGAGCAGCTCGGCGTGCGCAACACCTGTCGGCCTGATCTCGAACGACTTGCCCATAAACTTGTTCTGCGCGTCGACCTCGCCGTAGTACCGCCATGTTGGCGCTTCAGCCCAACAGGCGGATATAGGAGGATGGTGGCTGACTTGCTCGGAAACGTAGCGGTACTGCTTGTCGTGTCGTACGTACTCGAAAGTCTCGCTCTGCGGGGATTGTCAAGACATGTACCAATGTGGTAAGACGGAGGGACACGTACAAGCATGGGATTGAACGGCTTTGCGATACGCCCAATCGTCGAGGAGTAGTTGGACATAGCAAATGCAGCGACGAAAGCGATACGGCGGTGAGGGTCCTGCTCGGCATATGCAGCGTCCACTGAATGACAACTTCAGCGATTGCTAGCAGAGCGGCCACCACGATGTACTCACAGCACTCCGAGAACTCCATATCTTCCGCCTGCACATTTACCGTCAGTACCAAATATAGAGCGGGCAACGCCAAGGCTAGAGGACAGTCCTCACCATCCGTTGCAACATGCTCGTAGGTTCGTTGAAAAATACCGGGAACGAGATCTTAGTGAGATCCTTCCCAATGCTATTCTTCAACACCGCCCACAAGCTCATCGGCGGCCTGTCATCGCTCGAGATCGACAGTCTATCCCGCAGCTTCAGGTACGCGGCATACACCTCTCGGCTCAGGACAAACGCTGCTTCTCGGTTCGCCTGCGGCTGAATGAGGGATCGGGTGATGACGAGGTTTGGAAGCGTGTTGCTCTCGATCGCGTCGAAGAACTCGTCTTCCTCGTCCGTCTCGCCCTCGTCGCCCTCGTCCGCGACCCCCTGTGTCCCCGGGAGCGTTGCACCTTTGATAAGCGAGAATGGGCGAGCACCAGGGGAAGGAGGCAGCCCTTGTGATGTAGCGGATGGTCGCCGTAACACGCCACGAGAGATCGTACCAGCCGGAGAGGGGGCGCTCGGTACGCCCGGGATCTCCTCCAAGGGGGCGGGGGACGCTACCTGGGGCGCAGTCGTAACCGTCGTCGGCGTTGTGACAATCTCCATAGTAGGGCTAATCTGCCCAATGAGCTGAGACGCGCGCTTGCGAGCAGTAATAGTGCCCTCCTGGCCTGGTGTGCTGCTCGGCGCGCGGCTGCGACGGAAGCGCGAACGGAGCTCCTTCTCGAGCATGTCTCCCTCGCGCACTACGGCCTGTAAGCTCTCTTCCCAGATATTCTGCCGCTCACGCTCACGTTCCAGCTTCGCCTTGTACCACTCTTCCCGATCCTTCACCATGTGCACGTAGTCCGTGAGCATGCTTGACACCGTATTGAAAGTATCGTCGACGGCCTTCGTGAGCTCCGCCGCACGCTGTGATCCAGGCGCCTGCCCGTGTAAGCTCGACAGCAGCTGCTGAGCGAGCTCAGCTTGTGCAACGAGCGCGTTGCCCTGCAATTCGAAAGCAGTCGCATGTGGCGGAACCTCCTTCGTCGAGCCCGCATCGGACGAATCTTCGCGCTCGTCTTGCGTCTCGCCGCCAACGAAGTCTGACGCTGACGCCTCCCTCGCCTCACCACCCGAATCCCCCTCGCCCCCAGTCGAGCTCGCCGTCGAAACCGGATCCGGTACAGACAGCCGACTCTTCCGCTGCACCCTGATTGAGCTCGTCCCGACCGACAACGAAGGCTTGTTGCTAGGCGCATCGCTCTCCGCGCTCCTCCGCTCGTCCTCGTCGCCCTGCCGCCTCGCGATCTCCATGCTCTTCTGCAGCGCAACGATCCAGCGCGAAGCCTCCACAGGATGATTCGCCTTGAGATACCACTTCTGTATCGACGAGTGGCCTCGCGACGGCGTCGAGTGCACTTCGAACCGCAGCCCGGATGTGCCAGGAGGAACGGTCAAGACGGCTGTGCGCATGGCGATGGACCCCCTACAGGCCAAATTCTCGTCATCTTGATGGCGGTAGTCTGGTGGCGATCAATGAGACACGAACGCGCACACGCGTCACTACCTACGTACATGACAGCACGCCTTGGTGCAGAACGAACCAGCGCGTGTTATATCCCTTTGCGACGTTCGTGTACTTGTTCAGGTAGCCCTTAAGTTCTGGCGGCTCCGACGACGGCTCTTGGATCAGCGAATTATCCTGGTTCGTGACTACGACAGATCAGCCACAGCCGACAAACTCTCTGAAAACCACACTCACACTGACGCAGGAACACTCGCACACGGTCGTCCTTGCCTGCGCTGTCGTACACGGGCCGCCCCTTCCGGTCGCGGACAAAGACGTCAGCACCTGCTCGAACCGCTAGCTCAACCAACCGCAGATCTTTCCGCCGAGCAGCTTCGTGAAGCAGGGTTCGACCCGACGCATCGTCCAGGTACGACAGGTCCACAAGTCGTATCCGGGGCGAAGAGAGCAGCTTTACGAGCGCCTCGGGCGGCGGCACGTTAGATGGAGACAGAATGTAGGTGCGCAAGAGAGAACGGTAGGAGGCCGTCAGGAAAGCTCTCGAGTCTAAAATTGACGGTAAGAGGGCGATTCGTCGAATGTGACCCGACGAAGCTTACCGCGAATGGCATGGATCGTCTCCTTGCCTCTCGCCACCTCTAGGCAAGTCCTACCCTCGCTGTCGCGGAGGCTGTCGTCTATGCCCTCCTGATCCAGAAGCAAATTCACAACATCCGTCCTGGATAGGGAAGCAGCAAGATGTAGCGCAGTCGTTCCGGAACCAGGAGGATATACGGCGTTCGGATAGACAGCTCGGTGATTTAGTAGGAGCGCTACTGTTTCGCCTGGCAAGTCGGTCAGAACAAAGGCGTGCAATCGGTTGTCAGCGCACGCACTCACAGGTAGCGCATCGGATCGCGAGGTGTAGCGCGGCGGCACCGAGGTCGACCTCGTTCGCATCAGACGACGTCCGTCGATCCTTCGTGAAGTCTGCCAAAAAAGGATGGATTCGCGCGGGGTCCCCTTCAGGCGGAATGCTTAATGCAGCTCTCGGCATATGGATAGAACGGGATGCTCACCGCTTCGCAGTGCTGATAGCAGCCTGAGTTGATACAAGGAGTCTATGCCGCCATTGATTGCTAATGAAGGTCGTCAGCATTGTTCGGTGAATCCAATTCGCAAACGTGATGGATGGGGTCCGCTTCCGTTGCTTCCATATTGACTCGGTGCTTCTCGAAGCCAATTACGGAAACAACAGTGAGACTAGCATTGACTAATGCAGTCACTGGTGCACCCCAGAGCAAATCTGGCATCGTCACACGGGGCGGCGTGGGCTAGACATGGATTGGGGGACTTGAGAAAGGGGGAAACATTTCAGAGAAGGGCTCGCGCAAGTAGAGCTACGCGATATGTTCGTGACGGGAACGTACAGCCAGGATCTTGTTACGCCCAGACATGTGCTCGGTTGGGAAGACCCCTGCTTGACCCAGGTTCAACCCCTTGGGGTCAGACCCTGGGTCAAGCCAAGGCGACATTAACGTCGGAGCTTCCGAGTAAGTGGACCGCCGGGTCGGCTGGCCGTCCGCCACTCTCAGCTCAAGCTTGAGCTCGCATGTAAGCCACGAACACGCTTCCTATTGTCAATTTCTTGCTAGCACCAACCGTCCCCTCCAACTGCCCTATGCTTCGGCCATCCATAAGCGGGAGGGTGGAATCGATCGCCTTCAGAAACGGTGGAAATGGATGATGACCCAGAGCAGTGTGTTTGGGGAACCAGCGAGAACTCGGACAGATGCGAGATGTAGCGTAGATGCATCATCTGATCTCTACGTCTGTAGGAGCAGGAAGGACGAGCGCATATACACAAATAACATATGAGCTCAAGCTGGGCAGTTTCACCCTGCGAGGCCCCCTGCGCTCCCAGGCCTTACCACGGTAGTACGCGGTCGACTATTCTACGCGAGGGACTACAATGCATCACGTATTAACCCCTCGAAAAGGTCAGACCCGGTTCAAACCCAAAGTCAGACCCTGGGGTCAAGCCGACAGCGCCAAGGGGGCGAATCTTGACCCGCACACCTCTGGTGAACCTGCGCCGCCCGTTAAGCGCTGAGTTGATGGCGAAGGTCGATACGGTTTCAGACGGTGTAGGATGGAACTCAAGCAGAGCCTGCCATAGACTTTGGCACCCCCCGAAGCTGAAGAGCGTGCCCGGTTGAACACCTCACGGCAACAATCCCCACTCCCCTGGGTCCATCCAGGGCTTCCGTTCCACCAAGTAGTTGAACCATGAAGAGACTACTCACCACGATGAGATTGGCTTGATACAATACTGGGGGATGCAGGATGGTCGCGGGTCATATCCGTAGATTCCTCCCAAAGAGGGTTCCCTAAGTACGCAGCAAGTTCCCAGATAGCAAGAGAGAAAGACAGACAAGACAGAAGACAGATAATACGGAAGCTGAGAGCGTGGAAGAGAGGAGTTTCGGACAACCGTTTCAGCCCAAGTGCCACCATCGCGGCTGTCCTATAGATTGAAACGCCGATAGTCGGCGCTGAATATGTGCCCTCGCGAAACGAGCTCTCTTCTAATCACAGCCACCCAACCAGAGAACTCCGAAAAGCTCCGACAGAAACCCTCTATGTCGACGTCACTTATTAGAGGCACGCCTCTCCTCAAGCTCTTCCCACCTAACACTGCCATGAGGGTGTCTATGTCATCATTATGTGCATTGCGCGGCAGTCTAAGTATGGAGAGCTTGATGAGCGTGATGCACAAACACTTGATCTGTGGAGACAGTCTGGGCGTATCTGTTTACGTCTTGTCATAAGTATGGTATGTACTGCTCGTCCCGCCACTAGTGTGCTCGCGACCGCCTCACGCGCGTGCCAAGGGACACACCCCAATTTTCCCCTAGGCATCTCGCTCTGGAATGTCGTCTTCTCGGGCCCGCTTTCCTTGTTGCACACTTGCATATGAGGTCAAACTGGACGTCGACCACTCACTTGTCCGTCACCCGTCGACTACGGACGGCTGCGCCGGCGCACTACCCGCAAGAGTCGTTGTAGACGCTTCGGGACAAAACCGCGAAGAAACATACAACCACATTGTTATATCCGGACTAGCCCTGACCACCCTACCTTTCATGAGCTTTTGGATGGTATGTACGGCTCGAAATTGGAACCATAAATGCTCGTAACGTATGTGCATTGATGTACGAAGGGTTTGTGGCCAGAGAGTGCCCAGTACGGCGGCGACAGAGGGACTGTCCCGAGGACCGCCTCGTTACTGTAGGCACACTGGAAGCACAGACTTTTTGCATGACAGTCAAACTCACGCCCTCCGAAGACGCATCACAATTTGGCAACCATTCAGTCTCTGGTAGCAAAGCATGCCTATGTATGTCGTTATTGATCTAATCTGAAATATCCTGCTCCTGCTAACCCGAAACATACCGACGGCTGGGATCTATGGGCGCTCGTCCGGCGTGTGCGTCTCTCAGGTCGCAATTATCTCTTCTGCAAATCGCATATGCACTGGACTCGCGGTTGCAGGCCACACCACACACAGACATTCTTTCTACTGGCTTTGTGCCTAAACCAAGTGTTGGCGAACGGGGACCGACCCCAGCTTGTCCCCAGCTTGTAGACTAGGAGCCCATTACGGCATCCTATGACAGAACCTCTACCTTCTAACGCTCGAGATCTCGGCCAGCGATCCATATCTTGGAAGCAGAGAGGCCGGTGGAATGTCGCTGTGATCGGCAAGTAAGGTCGGATCACATATCGCTTTGTATAAATTGTTGCACTGAGCCGTGGCTTCGTGGCCTTCCTGCAGGTGTGGCTTTCGGCTCCAACATAAGCAATCTCCACAATTATCGGTTTACATGTCTCCCACAAATTGGTTCCGGAGGTACCGCCTCAGTGGGGGCTCCAGACGCTAAGTTTAGCCGCAATTATGTCCAAACATGTCTAGTTCCCTTTCGAGGTGATGCGATCTCCTTCACCCTGCTTTCTTCATCCTGCTGACAGCACATAAATGTCAAAAGGCAGGTACACGATGGAAGTTGTGGGTTTCAGCGACACCAGATCCGTCAGCTATCTCCAAGGAGCGGAAGGATCTTCCCTCCGTTCGCGCACTGCGCACTTCCCTTGTCTTCTTCTTGGCCACACAGACGTACCTGGTTACCTTGTACTAACTACTTACTCAAATTCATGTAGCCGGTCCTATTGTTCGCGCTAAAAGCTCACGACAAATCATTCCATATCTCCTATCGCATCCGATGTGCGTTGCATCTTCCTCGCGGCGCAGCCTCCGCAATGTCTTGGGGCTGCTACACCAGCCTGCTTAGGTATAACCCCGCACTAGCGTCTGTCTATTATCGTTCGCGAAACGGCGAAGCCGGGCTCACTTTAGCCCAGCTCATGCTTGGTGCTCAGGCGACGCGATTTCGACGGCATGTTCACGCATCTTGTGGGACGCGAGTCTATCGCGGAAGCAAATTCGTATCCGCTCAAACCGGACAGTTCCAGTCATCCTCCCATCGTACTCCGGGTCCGCCTCGGGTATGGTCTAGTAGATCGAGATCGCCCAGCACGGTACGCCCACAATGTCGCCCTAATTGTTGCACTTCATGTCACGCTCTAACGGCGAACTTCCGTTTCCTGCAGGGAGAGCACAGGGTCTCCGACTGCTGGAATGCCTCCTGCACTTCATACGGATCGCTTCACGGTAAGCTCTTGTTCTATGCCGTTGGGAATAAACTCGGTGATCGTTTCCTCGCCAGATGCGGTCTGCACTACATGTACTCGTGTACTGGGTCACTGACGGTCAGACTCAAGGCACGTTGCTCCCTCTCGCACCGTGACTAGCCCCGGGATAGTTCTCTCCCAGCCTCAAACTCAGCCCCCGGCGCGATTCGCACCCCGCGTCCCAATTATCGTCCGCTGCTCGCCCCGTCCGCCCCGCGATGGCATATGCCCACGCTGCCCCTCACCAATCTCTGTCGAACTGTCCGTCGCCGCTGTCTGGCGCTACTCCGCGCAAGCCCGACATACTCCGCGGGTGGATCAAGACTGCGAGGGACGCGATGCTCGTCTTCGAGGCGACCCGTGCAGGCATCGTTCCACGCGTCACTCGGCGATTCCACGAGCTGGAGAAGCGGGAGATCATCCAGAGCGGTGCAATCCTTGTTTTCACCGAGGAGGAGAGCGGTATCAAGAGGTGGACGGATCCGTACCTGTGGTCGGCGTCGCGCATGCAGGGAAACTTCTTGGTGAGTATGATTGCTAGCCACCATGCTTCAGGGAAGGGAACGACGGTGCTAAATATGTTATAGATGTATCGCGAGAGAGAAGACAGTTGTCCTGAAGCGGACGCTCCCTACCGCTGCTCTGCCATGACTCCCCTCTCGGACGCCGATGATCAGGAAGCAGACAGTGAGCTGGAGTACTACATCCTTGGGAGCTGGAACAAGGGCAAAGGGTTGAAGAAGGACGGACTCATGAAGAAGGTCAGTATGCTTCGTTTGCCAGCTTGTACAGGGTGGAGTTGAGTGACCGAGGACGTCCATAGACAACCTCAATGTCCATCGAAGACACGACGTACCACCTCGTCTCCTACTATTACCCTTCTGATGTCCGCTCTGGATTGCTTCGGACTCCATCCTCTATGCCGGAGCTAGCATGCTTAGAAATTAGCCCTGCCATGAAGCTCGGCTTCTCCCATACTCGCCATCTGCACGCAAGCCGTGGAAAGCGGGGAAGGCCACCACGATCGTGAGTTTCCGCTCAGTTCACCTAGTTTGTGACTGATCAACATCAACTGTTAGGAGTCGTAGCGGGGAGACTAGTGCACATAATCCTGAGGTGCAGGTTTCTCCGACGTCGCACTCCGCCCCTACGTCACCCGTCGAAGTGCCTTCTCTTCCAGAGCGCTCTCTATATCGCCATTCATCTGCGACGCTTATTACCACCCCTAACTCGTCTTCTTCACCTTCTCCACGCTCGCGTTTCCATCCTTACGCTCATGGAAATGCTGCATCCTCTCCCGAACTAACATTACGAAACACTCCTAACCATGGCCTTGATTCGGGGTTAAGCGTCTCCGCGAAGTCTCAGACACCGATGGCACACGACCATTTGGCCTTCCTACGCGCCCCAGACTCCTCTTGCGAGACATGGCAAAGCTCACCCTCTGCACTCTTACCTTCCATGCCTATCGAAGAGATCCGATATATGCCAACCACTTTCCATCTCGACGCAATGTTTGGTCCTATGGCATACCAGGAAGAAGCATACGCGCACGACGCTGAGGCCCAACAACAACTTCTCCACACCTGGGAGCCCATCATGGCGGAGACTCGCCTCATGATGTTGGGCTCGCGTCCCGCCCCGGATGCACTGCAATACGATCCGTACCGTGGCGGGCCATCTATGTACTATCGCTGATATAAGGCGAGCCCACCCAAGATCTCCTCCACGTTACGAACCTGGTGACTCTTCTTCTCATAGTATAGTTGCACGACATTGCAACAAAGGCTCGATGTGTACACAGGAGTCAACGATACGCTAACATCTAGCGTAAGTAAGGCGTGTATATGTATAACGTAGGCGAAACATGTCCATGTGCATAATCCAATACTGTAATGAACGCACTAAGCCAGGTCCGAGAAGAAGCGTACAAGATCATGATATAAAAGGTAAGACGCTCAACGTAAACGTGGTCCACATTGTCCCTAGTCAGATGATTACAGGAATAAGAACTGGATCGCCGCTGATGATGATAGGAGGAAACAAGTTCGCATACGAAGATGGTCGCCGTCAGCTTTTACGTTCTTGATAACTGTCACGGCATATGAGATGAAGTGCTTAGGGCAGACGTAAACGTGAATCTCACCTTGTAGCATTCAACGTCTGCCCTAGAACGGGAGCCAATGCACCAACTTTAGCTGTAGGGCAGGAAAACCCCTTTCCGTCCGTCCTGGAGGAATTGGATGCTACTGCGGGTAACGCTGCGAACTTGAGCGTGGGATTGCGGTAGTCCTTCCTGAGATTCTGCTCGAAGAACGAGAGCGGTACACGGTGACCATTACTCGGAGAATAATCCCTCGTCTGGTAGTGGCTACCAAAGCATGTCTTTTATAGGTCCCAGGAGTTGTTGTACAAAGTCTTGCTGGGTCCGATGGGTGAATCGAGAATGTGAGCTTCGGCGCCTAGGTCAACTGAAATCCCGGTAAATATGTCGACGCATCCGGATGCTCCAGCGCTCGTCGAGTTACTATTACTCGGAGATATAGTTCCATTCATCGCAGCGACGAGGGAAAGATCAGCCTCTACGTAGGCATTCAGATCAAGGGAAATGGTCGCGCTCTGGCCCAAAACTGTGAGACCAAAGGCAATCTCGGGTATCATGTGTGCGGATAGCTGCATCTCAGCAGTCACGTCCGTCCCTGCTGATAGCTTGATGTCTAAGCCCATAATGTGGTCAGCACGGAACCAGACTCGAAAATGTCAGGCGTACTTGAGTTTGCCGGCGTAATCGAGCCGTTGATGGCCTGTGATTGTGGATAGTTGAGCTGAACAGAGGAAGTCGCATAGGAGATGTCGACGTCCAATTCTGTATCCGCTTCGACAGATGCGTCTGCCTGCCCGTAGATGGAAAATGAGGGGCCGAGCGTGAAGACCTTCCCAAAGTCCAGGCCTGGAAGGCCGATTGTGAATAGTTGGATCTGTTCTGTGCTGAGTTTGCCCTGTACACATCACCGAGCCATGGGTCGAAGCCTCACGCAGACGTTTTGTACACTCACTGTTATATCTGCATTGATGCTAAGTGTGCTCTGAATGGTTGCATCCAGGGCAACGGCGAGGTTGATGTCGGAGAATTTGATGCTCGAGAGTAGGCCAGAAAGACTGACAGTGTAGTTCATAGAGCCAGTCACAGTACCGTTGAGATCGACACTGATTTGGCCATTGAAGGCAGGAACTGCTCCAGATTGAGGACAGGAGATGGAGTCATTGAAGAGGTTCACGTGAAACGCGTTCTCTGGTAGGGTGATATTGTGCGATAGAGTGTCGTCTGGCAGTACTGGAGAAGTCCTCTATTCTGAGAATGGGCACGTTGAGCCGACTACCTGGGAGACTCACGCTGCAGCGCCTCTAGGGCAGTCGCATCAGTCCCACTGGGAAGAGACCCACAGTCGACGCCTGGATGCATCGTGCTCTGAGGGCCGCAATCATCGCTGCGCCGAAAGGTCTGCTGTCGAAGATTGCTGACGCCAGGTGTCGAGGAAGCAACCAGGACTACTGATATGTCTCCATGTCTAGAACCATGTTAAGCATCAGTGCCGTAACGATTGCAGGGGCTGAGACGTGATTTACTGGCTGGTATTGACATGTGCGAAGTCAGTGGACAGGCTTATGCCGTTCACCGTCCTCTGCCACGGATCCTCACGGCGTTCGAACAAAGATTGCTTGCTTGTCGGAATGGTCTGGTTTGCGTGGTCCCAGAAGCGTGTCACAATGGCGAAGGGCTCAGTACTACACTGCAGAGGACTCGCGTTCAGCCTTCTTTGCATTGACGGTGTTTCTGCTAGACCTACGTCGTCTGGCAATCGGACTAGCGTATTCTCTGCACCATTAAGGTGCAAATGTCCGCATGTGCTGGTATTGTGACACACAGCGCGGATATCTTGGTCCGCCGAGGTACGATCGCATTCAAGGATAGTCCATCCCCCCGCAATGGTCAAGTCCGATATTCCGCTCTGCGCCCCAGTCTATCAAGCCTAAGGTTCAGTGAGTTGTGGTGATATACAGGAAGAGATACTTGCTACTTGTATTGTGCCCACGCCGTTGAGAGACGAGACATCCCATTGACACTGGCCGGTATGGCACGGTCGGCTCCAGTCATTGGCCGCTAACGTCGAGATGGGGAAGATAGCAGCTAGGAGAAGAGCGAGGACGGGCATTACAATTGTAGTCAATGTACGGGAGAGCAAATCCACTGAAGAGAGCTGACCTCAGACCATATTGAGCTTTTAAAGACCTTGACCGAAGCGGAGGGAAGGAGCTACCACGCCCCCTGTAGAAAGCCAGAATACCCCTCTCCCAGACTCGCCCACAAACGCGGTGCGAGCGCGATTCCAGCGCGGATCCGGCGGTCCTCCCCCTCGCAAAGAGTCGTGATGCTGCAGCGGGCATCCAGTGGATATGATTAGATGATATGTGAAGTGGGACATGTCCTCTGCTTCTTCTGGTAGCTGTGCAATGGGAAACAGGATGAGTCCAGCCATACGGAAACGCCGCCCATGTGGTATGCAGCACTGCAACTGACCTCTATTCACATACGGCTCGTGCGGTTTGACACTAATCTCGTGTGCGTTGAGGAGTCAGGAGCATAGTTCTCGAACATAACTTTCTTTGTGGTGGCCGAAAGCAATGATCATTGATCGTTACGGCGCGACAAGTCGCTGCCAGTGCCTGAGGACACTGTCGCAACAGTGTGGCTCATCTTGATAGGAGAGAACGAACCTGTACCCCCTCTCTATTAACGACGAGAGTCCATACTTGCGACTCAACGGTACACCAGTCAAGAGAAGTGGCTACGTAGAAGTGAGGAACCTGCTTGTTCAAAGTGCGCTCCTTAGACTTGGACCGTAGCCAGCTGTCTTTTTCCCACGGTTCAAGTAGCGTCTTGGAGGCTTCGTCTCGCACGCACAGGCTCACTGGACTTCCTGCTGAGCTGAACTCGGGTTCTCACCGAATTGCGAAGACGGCTCGGTCCGCCCAAGAAGACAGATCCAGCCATTCTCGAGACGGAGGGGTGTCCTCGATTGAGAAGCGGAAGACAGGTGGTGAGGTGGTGCACACACACCTGTAGCGATCTACCGCGTAACACCCACGTCCACAGAGGTCACCTCGGCCACCGAAGCGGCTGGGGCGCGATGCGGAGAATTTCAACCTGTGGAAACGGCATCGCGTGTCTGAATGTCTCGCCAATGCGTCCACTTGCACTGCGACATTCAGCGCGGTCCAGACGCTTCCCGGGGTCCAGCTTCTAGACGTTGGAGCACAGTAAGTGTTTTTACAAGACGTTTCAGGCCAAAGTAGAAGGATCCGGGACAACAACCACTTAGAGGAGGGACACCTACGACATAGGACGGAAGTGAAAATGATGATAGGCGGAGACAGGTCATGAATTGCATGAACTTGTGGCTGATCGTCAAAAACTGCTTGGGGAGTCGACAAATGATGATCAAAAAAGTAGTCCACTCAGCTACTTACGAGTATGCGGTCATTGAGAGTACCGCACGTTAGGGAAGAGCACGCTGACGGGGATCCGGAAGGAAATTTACTTATCTTGGACCGAACCATTGCACCTGTACTCGCTTCCACTTCAACAAGATGTCATGCGGTTGTTGACTCGATCTTGGGCAGCTATACAGCCGTTAAATGATTTGTCGGTTCCTCTTATACCAACATCACGCTCGGCGCATCGAGGCAATGGATGACTTTCCATAAGCTATCTACGGCTCTACGGACGTCCGTAAATCTCTAAACAGACCGATTTGGGCAAGGGGCAGTGTTGCCGACACCAGATCTGAACTCCGCTGAAGAAATTTAGGATACGGACGTCAAAATCTAGGAGGGGGGTCCGACCCCCCTTTCTAAATCTCTAAGGCCCTGGTCGGCAACATCAACCCTGTGGGATCAACCCAGGGTGGCTCCTGCCAAATGGCAGCCAGGTTGATCACACAGTTGATCTGTCTCCGAACGCCCTCCGAACGGTCGGTCCTTTCCTTAATCCGGTAGCATCTCGGCCAGATAGCGCCCGCTGGTGTCTGTCACCATCACCTCATTGACGCCCTCAGCGTCTTGGGCTTAACTGCTTATCCTACTTCACAAACATGTCGTGAGCCTTCGAATTTCTGAATATAGTCATATCAATGCATAGGGTACATGACTATTGACTTTTCCCGGAAATTTTATCCATAGAGCCCAACCTGAGATCTCAACTAGCCAAAGTGGCTGAAAGTCACACAGCGATAAGACAGGGTGACGCATCACGACAATCCCATAAGCGCCAGGGCTGAGTCAGCGCTTTCCGGAGGGGTTCCGTGAAGCGCTCGATATCAACCCATTCACCGCGTTTTGGGCCCTCCTGGTTCACGGGCGAGTTGCTGCGAATAGATGTGTACTCAGAGTCTGGTTGGAGGCGTAACTAACAGGCAATTCACGCTCTAAACAAATCAGAATACCTGTGAATAATGCACTTGCCGAGATGAGGTTGCAGTTCAAGTAGATGGTCTGGTCGAAGGTTCAAGTAGACGGTCAATTTCAGGCTGGATCAGGCGACCTGTTCGATGGTATAGACCCGTCCTGAATATCAGCTAAATCATCATATATTTCAATTCGTTATCCCATATTCCTAGAATAGAAGTTACGACGAAAATGCATATTATGATAGCTATTACGGCGACATCATATCGTAAATACAGAAATCCTACAGTACTAGTGATATCGCAAGTCCATCGTGGGCCATCGATTCGCATGCTCGCAGTCTTACACCCTACTTCATACTGCTCATTCCAGTGACAGTTAAGACGAGAGATGACATATAGTCTGGTAGTGCTCACCATACTTTTAGTCGTAGTCAAGAAGTCGCGAGAGGAGTGGTCTGAACAGGTAGCATATAGCCACGACAAGTATGAGAGGACATGCGTATAAGCACTCACCGCTGCCTAAAACAACGACCACACAACCATGGTAGAGCTAGTCCATAGGCACACAAATGAGTATAGTTCCTGAGGTTATGGGCTAAGCATACCTATTGCCAGTTTCCACAAAGTCCGCCGCCGCCGCCTGTGACTCAAGGGAACCTCTGAAAAGCGGCATTTGATAGAATTCCATGCGAGTCAGAAGGAGCCTGACTAAGGCATAAAGGAGAACACTTACTGAGCAAGA